ATGAATCTCACTAAATGAAGTGACTGCTATAAATCATGAATTACTGATTGAAATTTTTGTGTCTAAATCCTCAAACAACAACTTTAACAGCGAATGTTTTTTCAGTGCAGCAGTCATGGTGGTTATTTAAAGGGGTAAAGTGATTTTCTTCCAATTAGTGCCCCTTCTCCTCTGTTGTTTGGTAAACAACATAAAGACATTGTCACAAACATCTTGTATGGAATTAGTCAGTCATCATCTTAGTTATTATAAAAACACTCAGGTGGTCAGTATTCAATTGGTGTTGTCCATCTTAGACTACTAGAATATCACAAACTTTTATCAACCTCATTCAGCAATTATATGAAGACGCCACATGCCAAGTAATTCACAATGGAAAGCTCAGTGATGCCTTTGAAGTGAACACAGCTGACAGGAGTAAGACAAGCTGTCTACTATCACCCACGATCTTCTCGATTGTGGTCGACTGGACTGGACCGGACTGGATCATGCAACAGACAACTGTAAGATGTGAGAAGATGAGTATCCGCCGGGTGGACCGTTGAAAAGATCCTAGAAGATTTGGATTTCACCGATGATGATATATGTCTAATGTCACACAAACTGGAAGACCTACAGGCGAAATCCAACAAGTTGACAGAAGAGGCGAGGCAGCGAGGAAAGGCGGGACTTTCTTCGGATGAACGTAGAGAAGACAGAGGTGATGAAGATATTCAACCAACATCACCACCACCACCGCCAACCACAGCAACAAGCTCCAATCACCATGAACGAGAAGAAACCTAAAGGAGGTAGCCTCTCTCACCTACACGTACCTAGACAGCACCGTTTCAACTACAGGCGACGGTGGCACAGACGAGGATGTCGAAGTGAGGATCGGAAAGATATCAAGACAGGCGTTCATTAATCTGAAATGAGTGTGGAGATCTACTGTACTGTACTGCACTCAGGATAAAGTGTGAATAAGATCGAGATTTTCAACACTAATTCAGCCAAGTCAGTGCTTCTGTATGGTTGAGAGACTTGTCGCGTTAGGAAAAGCATTTCCAACAAACTACAGACATTCATCAACAACTGCCTACACTGGCTCGTTACTAAGCTCAGATAGCCAGAAAGAATAATCAACAAAGAACTGTGTCTGGTAACGAACCAACCAAGAATCTATCTCTCAATAAATGTGCACTGGAAGGAGGCGGAGATGGATTGGGCATGAAGTGATAAGACGGTTTTGGGACATCAGGCGCGAGGCCATGCCAGGCCATGTCGTTGTTTGGAAATCAAATGGTAAACGGCGAGTTGTGCGTCGGAGGCAAGGGTGATATGGAGGAGATCATGTGAGGAAGAAATGAAAGGTTGTTGGCATTCGTGGTAGCAGGTGCAAAAGATTGCAGAGAAGAGAGTGGAATGGCGACGTGCTACTGAGTCCTTATGTTCGACTAGGAACCCAAGGGACAAATAATAACAATAATCTTATGCTTCTGATGTTGATGTCTAGTAAAAATTAGGGTGTGTTTGTTTATCCTCTTCATCAGTGCTAATCTCAGTGTTTACTGGTAAGCAGAATCAACTTCTTCAATCACTGAGAGACTTTCTTCGTTATCAATAATTCGGATAATTATAGTAGCCTAGGTTAATTTGAGATAGCCTTTGGTGTTTACACAGAAACCATGATTGAAGTTAAATGGAGAACAAAGACTGTAAGTTGCCTTCAGCAATCGATAGATAAATGAAATCATTGTAGAATGTCATGGAAAATCGTCTCGATTCAGGTTGCTACACTTCCCAGTAGTAAACAATGAAGAAGTTTATACAAATAGGTGATAGCAAAGTTGAAAACATTGTGTAAGAGAATAAACATTTCGAAGATGAAGGTTAGTGTAAATATTCAAGCTTTAGGAGATGTCAGGGAGTAAATACATCTGCACGGTTGTGACGGATTTCCAGCCATGTCACCAAGAATTCTCAATCACTGATTATTTTCGTCTCAAGGATCAGAGTCAGTCAATCAACACCTCCTCATGCGGTTCAGACCAGTTCTTGGTCTGTCTACTATGAACCGTCTTCCAACCAAATCCAACTTCCTCTAACATGCATAGCACATCGAAATAAATGGCGGTGGCTTCGCATGCGCAGTGCATGTCTAAGACATCTCAGTCGATGAAGGTTCACAGCCTCATCAATCGACTTACGTTTCTTGCCTACGCATGACCTTAACATTGCTCATACATTTATTCCATCAAATGTTAGCAATGCTACGAAGACATCTGTGATCGAAGTATTGTAATCACTTCATGTTTTCTGCATCTAACGGCTATATCTCACAGTCGTATTACAGTGATTGGCACTTACTGATCGTGTATACCTACAGGAAAGATTTGATTGTGTCTATCTATCTATCTGTCCGTAAATCTTCTTATAGTCTACGTCTCTGAGAAGAGTATTCTTGTGTAAAGATGAATCAAGAATTACTTATTGTATAAATGATTGAAGACTTGTAGGCTGTTTGCTAGCTAACAGTGTTCATTGTCGTTATTTTCATTCAACTTCATCAGTATACTGACACTGACCGTACAGGATATGATCTCTGATGTATGTGTATCGTACAATGGTGAAGAGTACTTTTGGACACCTTTAGTTAAGCACTTTTTATACACATCACCTTTTCTTTATATGTCATTTCCGTGATAATACTGCACAAGTACTTTTCATTAACAATAATAATAATGTTACGTAGGTGGATTGTCTTTAACAAGGTCCATGATAAGTTAGTTAATGACCAATGAAATTTTTGTTCTGATATATTCAAGTTATCCTATCGATCTCAGTGACCAGGTATGCAACAAAAATGTTTATCTTCTTTTATATGACTATTGGATATATATATATATATATATATATATATATATATATATATATATATATATATATATATTTGAAACAAGTTTTGTTTGTCTCTGTAATGTAAGTTGGAAAGGTTATGCATCCACATCCATCTATATTCAGATTGAACAGCAAGTACATGTGGAAGAAATGGCTGTCAGAGAGCAACTGTAAAGCGAAATTAGTATCGGGTATTACCAGCATACTTCCCTCATGTATGATTTCGGTTGCTTTCAGTTTGATATGTGATGAAAATGCTTCACCTTCCTACTAATCCGGATTCATCTCTCTGTCTTTCAAGTACCTGCCCAACTGGATGATTAGAAACCCTACTTAGTTCAATTTAGAGGTTTGTGGAGAGATTTATTTATTGATTTCCGGTTGGTATTCATTGTGGATTGACATAAGTTGGAGAAACAATGGAAATCTGGGAGCATTGAACAGCTGTTTCATTCTGGCATGGGACTCACCAACAATATGCACCCAATATCCTGCCCCACCAGGGATCAAACTCAGGACCTTCAGGTTTCACGGAGAACGTGTTAACCATTCACTCATTGGGTTGCGGAGTCCAATGATTCACAGTTTCCTACTTCTTTCTATTCACGATACATCGTGGCTATCATTCATAGTCTTTAGCCGGCATGCACTTCAGTTTTGAATGGTTGATCTCCAAGGTCATGGCTTTTCATTAGAACTTTGGGATATCCATCTGGAAGCATGTCACTGATGAACACTATACAGTAGTGTATTTTGAGGTTAACGGGGATTTTATTTTTAACGTAGTACTCATCAGGGACTGACATCAGTTGGAGAAACATTGGAAACCTTGGGGCACTAAATAACTATCTCGTCCTAGCACGGGACTCCTCAGCGGTTTGCACCCATAATCTCTGCTGGGATCGAACCCAGAACCTTCATTTGCTGCTGCCTAGTGCTTGCAAATGCTCAGTCTTATTAATTTGACTGAAATATTTATTAGTTGTTAATGCTTTGTTGACTGTGTAACTAAGGTTGTTTGATTAAACCCTGGATTAGCAAAGATTTTCCACCGAATATATTGCATTGAACTGCTTCCTTTCAACTTTAATACAGGGATAAAAGTTGAACCCAGCGGTGAATTTTATCTCCATTTTACTCCGTTTGTTAGATCTGTCATACAGTGAAACATTAATTACTTTTCAGTGTGTTTTAATCTTTCAAATATACCTTCAGAAAGTATCACGTATTGTAGCGCATTTTTGGCGCGCTTTCAACCAATTGTTCTGGAAGTCAACAATTAAATTGAGAGAAAATAGCACAGTAAGTGACAACAGGCTCCTCAGCACATAGCGATGTCATCCTATAACTATTCCAGGAATAGCTATCTCGAACTGCAAGTCTGCATACTGGCTGAATAAACCTTGAACAAAATAACGCATGCTTTATTATTCTTCCCATCCATCATCGTCATCCATCAACATCGGACCCGGCATTACTACGTAATGGTCAAACTTGCCACACCTCATATCACTACATCAAGTAAAAAGGTGGTCAATTGGAACATGAAGAAAACAAAATTCTATCAAAACAAATATAAACTACTAAAAGAGAGAAAGAAAGAATGAGAAAATGGTGAGATTCTGTATAGCGCCGTTAAGATGAGGATAATCTGTGTATGTGTATACATCTGTGCCACTCACATCGGTTCTCAGCCATGTGGTCACCTAGAATCAGTCTCCAACCAATGGTATCACTTGTCCCAACTGACTAGTCTGCATCGACCTAGATGGCTCAAACCAACAGTCAAACACTTCATACATTCATCCTATGGTTTAGTCTGGCCACACTAACCCTTTTTCCAGCCTGAATCCACTTCGGCCAACATTGTGTGATGAGGCAGAGGGCGACTAGACATACGTGACATGTGTCCCAACCACCTCAGTCTTTCCCCTCAATTCAACGACAATATATCCATGGGCTAGACATCATAACAGAAGAGCAGCTGTTTGTTTCATCCTACTGGTTATTCTTCTGTCATTTTTAGCATTATTTAAGTAGTATAATTATTTGATTTGAAAATATTGCCTGGAATAAAGTGATTATTGTTATAATTGTTATTTTCCCTTTTACATTATTAGGCATCCCGTCTAAAATCGGAAAATAATCAATGTCATAATTCATCAGTTTCCTCAAGTTTATCAGCACCATTCCTACTCAATCAGTTGTCGTCATCATCATCATCATCAGCAGCAGCATCTTCATCCTCATGTGCTTGGTCAACACAACGCAAACAAACAAAATCTGGTTTTGTACGTCCAATACCTCAACCGTTACAGTTAGTTAGTGAAGCTAATTATCAACCTCAACTTGGCATTAGTAGTCAGTATTCACCGATTACACCAGCGCCAATGAATATGTCAATGCATACAATTATTACAGATTGTGAAACTATTTCATCATCATCAACATTAACAACAATGAAAGCATCGAACAGTGTGAATGTTGATCCTGGTCTATTTCACAATGATGATGAACATCAATACCGACTAATTGAAGGCATTGTTGAGTGTAACAATAATGCCAATACCAAGTCATCAGTGTGTTGTTTCGATGCTAATGGCTTGGATTTATCACACTTTCCGGATTCATTATTATTAACCTCAATATATGGTAGCAATACGACCACTACTACGAATAGTAATAATAATAATGACCATACTAATTTCATTTATCCAGTCGATGATAATTGTAGTAACGATAATCTTTGCAAAGCAATACCGATTGTAAGCGTTTCTATGAGTAGTGGTAAAGTTGATAGTGATATTCCATTAGTGAACTGTGCAAATCAAAGTAATGATCACTTGATAAATCTGTCACAGAAAAGAACAGATACTAATTTACAACGATATCTTCATCATCATCACCCTTCTACTGTACCTCCGCCTCCGCCTCATCATATCCATCGACAACGTCAAGCTAATAATGATGGTAGTAGCAGCAGCAGTATCTGTGATTCACATGGAGATTGTTCCGTTTGTTGTCCGATTCCCAAGTTTAGTAATCCGTTTGAGTACTCACAGCATTTGCATCAACACCAGCAACAACAACCGGAACGTCAAGTTTACCAACGACAACAATCGCATAGTCATCTACCGCATCAGCATCAACAAAATATATGCCCAGTTCCTGCTTTGCAGTCAGGTAAGCTCACCTTTCCTATCGATGAAATTATATATATGTAGCAAAGTGCAATGTAATGAATATCTAAAAATCTGCATATGAGCCCATCTATCAACACTGATCGAGCAATCCTATCCAGTATACCAATGGGAAATTATAAGTATCAACCAACAACAACAACTGATACCGGTACGCAAGTGGTGCGTGTCTTACGCCAGTGGATAACGCTTTAAAGTTTGAAACGATGGGGACTGGGTTTGAGCCCAGGTAGGATGAACATCACTTACTGAGGTGTAGGTACATCCAGCTGACGAGTTCCAAGTAGGAAAAAATGTGCGTACTGGATTCCACTGCTAGCCACTAAGTGGACCACAATATATATTTATGTATATTTTGTTCTAACTTCCGTCCATATTTTGTATATTTTCTTCTTGAAATCAGGCAGTAATAATGGTCTATCAAGTCGAGTGATTCGATATCATTGAAGTTTTGCTGCAAGTCATCAAAGGGATGTTGAACTTTGTGAAGTCAGTCCCCCAGAATAGTTAGGTTTAACCAGAGAATATCACTAAGAGCAGAGTGGAAAATTAGCAAACTAGTTAATAACGTATGCGATTAGGACTCATACAGGTTATTTGATACTATCCTTCTTTGGTCTAAAAACTCTAGTTTCATTTAGTGGGTCGCTGAGTCAAGCCCTCTTTATAAAGTCTTTCACTTTTGGCCTTAGTCGTGTAGGACTGCTTTTCTGAAGTTCTCAAGATAGCAGGAGGCCACTTGGTAGTCAAAGATACACACAGTCTTTATTATCTTTGAAGTTCTTCAACACTTTCATCATTAATCTTCATCTCACTATTCTTTCTCTTCTCAAATACTTTTGTTTACTGCAACGTTAATATATACACACAATATGCAACGATTTATATATGTTTGCAGTGACCTTGATTATTTCTAGGTCTTTCTAGAATAGGACATTCTATTAATTTTTGCCTCTTTAACCAATCACGTATTTACGCGTTGATTCACATGCTTTTTCTCAAAAATTCAAGGCAACATGATTTGTTGTGAAAGGTTTCAGGGATTTTACGCTTCTTAACACGATTTTGGGGATCTTATTGGACACCATAACGGTGTTTTAGCTGTCATTGAGTTGATGTAGTCTTCATATGCTTTTTCACTTGATGTAGTGATATGAGGTAAGGCAAGTTTGACCGTTACGTAGTAATGCCTGATCCTATGTTGATATTGATGACGATGATGACCATGAGCCTTCTAACCTAATCTAATTCTCCGCACTATGGCACGTCGACGTAGGTGGAGTGGCTTAGCATATGCAGTACATGTTCAACCCATCTCAGTCCATTAGTAATTTGTTTTAGAAGAAGAAAAATTCCATCGCTTTTTTGTTTAAGTGATGTTACAAGGTTTATATCAGCTTAAACTGTCTCAATTTTGTGCTAGTTTCTGGGTTTTTGTTTCTTCCAGAGTTATCACATGCGTCCGTTTAACTTACCTGCAGCAATTAATGTTTCGTAGATTCCTCTTAGCTACTTCTCTTCCGCGTAACCTTATCATTTGGAACAATATCAAGTTGCGATGGATTTGTTGAAGCCATTCTCTTTTCAACCGATTCATCATTTGTTCAAACCATATTCTACCTAGTTAAGTAACGGCAACCGGATAGCATCCTTGATCTTTATTTGGTTGATGTGATACATGAATCTGTAAGTGACAAAAATATCCAATCACTTTGTCATTCGCTTTCATGACTATTCACTTAATAAACTGCCTGGTTGGGGTCCACGAGACGAAAGGAATCGGTAGTTGAGGACTGTTGATGGCACAGCTGAAAATCGGTTATATTGTCGCAGAAGTGCTGAATCTCTGTCGTTCTCTAAAGCTTGAGTATTCTCTCACACAATTTTGTCTATGCTGATATCACTGTTTCTCTATCCATCCGTTCTTTGTATACTCCTGTGAAGTTTGGTTAATTTAGGTGATGCACCTGTGTATACGGTTCTGCGTTGATTCAGTCTGTCTGTCTGTCCATCTGACTGCCATGTGAATTCGTGACGCGTTACTATTACCTGATCGTACTCACACCGGTTGCCCATCCAGAACTTCTCATCTGAATGCAAATCTACTTGAATTAGAGAGGAGGAGCATCATATTGATCATCACGGTGACTATCTGAAATCACCGTTATTTGACACACTTGTATTACTATTGAGTGATGATTGACGATGAAATGAAAGTCGTATGAGACGCTTCATGATTTCAACCAGCCATTTCCGAGTTGCCAGCTCGGTACCCTTCCAAATGATCTACAATACTCAGCTATTGACCAGATCTTAATTCAGGTTGATTTGGATTGGGATGAGAATTTCTGGCTGGGTAGCCGATTTGAAAATGACAGTTATGTCGCTTTTTTTGTTTATTTATTTGAAATACACACAAGTGGCTATGATGTACAACCATAGGTGCCTAGATCGAAGAAAGACGTACAATGTGAAATAGCAAATATGAAAGTAACCAATGCCGAATATTAACTTACGAACTATGCTTGATTGGGATAATAATAATAATAATCGAAACTAGATAAGCGCTCCATGTATGTTTATTTTCAAAGTAATATGTCAATTTGTCTTTGTTTCTGCCGTCGTTTATTTGTTTTCCTTGTTCTTAACACTTTTGGTGTTGATGGTAGTGGCAATGGTAAAGTGTGAACAGTTTCTCCTCCTCCTCCTCCTTCACTTTTATGTGTTTGTGTAGTGATGAGTGTATGTTTTTGTTTCCATCCCACATTCAGTTGACATCTGTTCACCTTTTTCAATACTGTCGCTTTTTATTATTCTTTTTCATTATGTCTTTTGATTAAGTTTCGAACTTTTGAAAATAATGAGTAAAAATGGAGATTTTTAAAGTCTTTTCTTGGTATTCAAGTATTCTTCTTTAAATTATAACCCAGGAAATGTGAAATGTTATTTGACGGTGAACGACACATGGTTGATAAAGAAGAGATGTGGGAGAGAGAGAGAGAGAGAGGCATTTATAAAACCACTGTCCGATAACTAATACTAACATCTGTCTATGTTTACCATACTTCATGTCGGAGTTGAAGTCAATAGTTCCCATTACAGAGAAGTGATGAGGATTATTACAGATTGATATGATAAAAAGACAACTAGGCCGATAAGCTAAACAAAGATTCTATGCTGTTGAGATATGTATGAGAATAAAAAGTGGTTGACTTTTAGTTGTTGATATCAGATTGTTTCAAAGACCCCCAGCTAAAAGGTTGACATTTTTTCCCATACACACCTTGAACAAATAATTATAGATTTATATAGGGCGAGAAAATCAGTTTAAGCAGAATAGCAACTATCTATCATCCATTCAAATCAACATAGGATAAGGCGGTACGAAGGCAACGGTGGTCAAGCACCGGAAGCTTCCTCATGTCTTCCACCTTCGATGGCCATTTTCCTCTACCATACAGCCATACAGTAGAACAAACCGGACTGCTGTGCAGTATACGCTACCCTTAATAGACAATCGAATATCACGGTGGTGCCACAGGTGCCATAAGTTGGCAAAAGCTAGCCGAGCCTTTTATATCTGTGCAGGGATTTCGAGTACTGAGCCACCAGGGTAGGGCTGATACCACTTCACTTATCTGGGAAGTGAAGTGGTCAAGACACTCAACCAGTAAACTCTCTATTGTTAGCCAAGGCACCGTTAATGACCAATCCTAGAGCAACAATTTGCTTTTGGGTGGTGAGAAACGCATCCCAGACATTCTCAAATTGCCACTCAAAGTGTTCAGAAGACTCTGCATCTGCATATTCTAGGTCTAATTAAAATTCTCCTGCGATTAGGTCAACTTCTGTGTAATCAGGTGACAAGAGGAAGACTTCCATAAGAATAGTAGAATAGCTTGGATCCATTTTATTTCACTCTTTCTCATCAGTTGCTGACAAACTGAAACAATTTTTATTCTCAAGTTATATAAATGTTCACATACTTCAATCAGTTTAATAAAAAGTATTTGGCTTGAATTAAAGTTAACATTAAAATAGTATAGTAGAAAACACACTATTTGAATGAATAAGTATACAAAACTGATGGTAAGTTTGCCAATATACAGAATGAGTAGATGAATATTCTAGAGTGGAAGTTGAATAAGGTTACACATAAATTTCAGGTAGGAATTCATCATGCACTGACATCAGTTGAAGGAACATTGTTAACTTAGAACAGCCTTTTCGTCCTAGTATGAAACTCCTCAGCAGTGCGCACGGGTGAACCCCTATCCCAGAGATTGAACCCAGGTTCTTCAGGTCCTGTGGCCAGCACGTTACGTTACGTTGAGCCGCTGGGTAGGAATCCAATGGTCCATATTTTCTACTTCTGTCGGTTCATGATATAGCGTGACCCCTATCTAATGTCATCGTTAAGTAACTGAGTAACTTTCAACTTGGTTGACTCCACTAGTCATGACTTCTGATTGGAACTGCAGGAATCACCTCTCGAAGCCAGTCACCAATGAACCTGCTTAACTGAAACAATAAAGTAAGCGCAACACAACACATACGCACAAATATTCTAAGACTGAATAACAATGAGGTTAAAAATTCCACTGGATTTGTTTTATTTCTTATACAAATCAATTATTTATTATATATATTTCCGGTTAAATATTTGCCTGATTAACTAGTTCACTAGTTACTAGCCGGTCCTAAGCCCGGATAAAGAAAGAAGATTGGGCATACGGCTAGCAACCCTACCCCGTAAAACAAATCCAACCGCTAAAGAAACTTCACAGCACAAACAAAATATAAAACATAAAAACAAAATTATTCCTCACTGGAATCGGGGAGACGAAATGACACAAGTTGGTGAAAGCCTTCAGGAAGCCAATTGGCCGATGTGTCTTCTCTCGATGAAAGCGAAAGTAAACGTGGGGACATGGAATATCCGCACCATGTTTGAACCCAGTAAGGCAGGCCAGATTGCAAACG